TTATTTAAAGCAAAAACTGATTTACATTGTATGAGATTAGTTCACTTAATGAGTTGGTTGCCTATTGATTAAAGCATTTGACTTTCATCTACTAGGTTGCAAGTCCAGATTCTGCGATACTTACTTTAGTTTAGACAAATGATTAGTATTACTAGCCTTTCACAAAAGTCAGTGCTATAGATTAGATACACAACCGCCCCCAAATGCCCTGGTACGGTCGAGGGTGGGGAGAGCCAGCTTTCCTTCACTAAATGCTCTCTCAAGGTCACGCGTATACAGCCACTGTCAGAGAACTCCTACTCACTGCCTTCTTGCGGCGGGGGCGTTGTTTACGAAATCGAGAGGACAAAAGCGAATGTTCAGCGCTTTAACCGGGTTGATGGATATGAAGGATCCACCCTGGGGATTTGGAAAACCCTGATTCCAAACCAATGGTGCACATGGGTTCCAGAATCCTAAGGAAACGAATGGCGTATGAACCAATTGTTGGTCACCGGTTACCATGGGACTGCATCTCCTTACCTTGCTCCACTGCCTTGTGGATCAGACCTTTAGGTCAAACGCTCTGGGTGTGATCCTCCAAAGAAACTACCTGCTTTAGTCTGGGCACCCGAGCAGTATCATAACCCACACATAAATGAAATGAAATAACAATAATTACTGGAAATACTGTTCGTGCTGCAATTAAAATTCAGACAACTCACATCCATTTTAGTGTGGCGCATATGTGTCTGGTGCCCCTTTGTATCAATATTTATGTGGTCAGATAATTAAATAAGTACACAACCTTGCGATTGATTATTGACTTGAAAACGCATGTCATAGACATGTGAGAGCAAGGAAATATATAAACTCTCTAATTCTTTAATTCCATTGTACCTTAGATGTGAACATAATTAGGGTGTACGTGAAGATCGTAAAGTACTGTATGGGTTGATGCCACTATTGTTAGTAAAATTAATACCGCATATTTTTATAATCGCTAAGAAATTAGTATATTAAAAATAAAGGTAAAAATTTTTAAAACCGAAATTGCTCAAACGAAAAAAAATCAACTTTTTTTGTCATCTGGTTAGCCTTTATCTTCATATTTTTGTAAAAAAATATTTCAGTTTATGAAGATCAAACGGATAGAGGAAAATAAAATAACTGCATCGGAATTGATGTCAGTTAGCTTTGCAACTCTTCTTCCATCGAGAATAGGTTCAGAGAAACAAGTCGAATCGCGTAAGTATTTTCAGATAGTCTGTGAAATTCAGACTTTTTAGATACGTTTCTTGTTGTTTTGGAGTCATACAGAAATTCGTCAGATGTATATAGGTATGATGCACAATTGTTGATAAACAGATTTTTGTCAATAACGCGAATAACTAAACTAACTAATGTAGCTGAGCAACAAACTACACGTTTTTTGTATTTGGTTACGGACTATTTACTACGCGGCGAGTTATGTTTTCTTGATTACTGAAGCCAAAATTTATAGAACATTGTTCGAATAATCGTATTAGTAGTTCTAGTTCAAATCTATAAACGGTTGAGCTAAAGGTTTATCTTAATTAGACTAGAATATTTTAGTACAGCTGGTTTAAGAGATCATCCTTACTTTGATTGATTGATTGAATAGTGGTGTTTGGATCTTCGAAGCTAAATGGTCTACGTTTTATCGTAATGAAGAGGGAATAAGTTTCATCGAGGTTACATGTACACCGATGAAAAACGATCATGTAAGTTAAACTCAGTTGAGTAATCTGATTACCTCCAATGATCTAAAACCTTGTTGAAACCAACTTTTATTTAACTATTTGTAATGAAACTTGTAATTTCAAGTCCGTTCGTTCGTCGATTTATAAAACTACGCGTCAATATATTATGCCTTTGACTATTCTGTTATTGAGGAAACAAATATTATGTTTGACGATGTGTAATCGACTTTCTGAACTGAGTTGAAATATGACCAAATAACGGTGCCTCATGGTAGAGTAATAGATCTATTTACGAAGTGTTTGCTTTCTTGTGATAAATTTTAACTACTTTTACATCGAAGCGTAGTTGGTTGGGTTTTTATCGGGGGAGACTTTACGAAATAGGGAGTGAAAACAAAATAATAAAGTTAACATATTTGAGCTTTAAAACATTTTCGACGTTATTTTTTGTTAAGAGATAAATAGTTGAATTGATAAGCCTTACCAATATCACGACAAAATGTCATCCTTAACACCGATTCGATGTAAAATAAGTAGAGCTTTATATATTTTTCGCAGGTCACGTATTAATTTACCGTGAGAATGTAGAATGTGACTAGTTATTATGCCTACATTCTCTATCTCGTGTAAGAATTCCTAAGTCATATATATATCCGCCATCAAAATGACTATTGAATTTCACATCAGTTTATTGTTTAGATCTATGGAATAATATACCTTCTATAGTATTCATGTTAATTATGTTACAAATCAGCTTACCTTGTTGTTTTCTTTCATTCAGCTCTCTAAATAAACTCTATTCTTTTATTATTTATTGCGTTGGGTCAAGTTAGTCTGTGGGTGGTTTCCCAGAATAGAAGAATTGTGTTACTGCTAGTGCGGATGAGACTTGTTTCCACATACAGTCATGTATAAAGATTAGTTTCAAATCGATAAGGAAGTAGTTTTCCCTTCATCTATTAATAAAAATACCTGGTTATATAAGTTACCCTTGGTCATCTGAACTAGCGATGGGGATAAAATCCGGAAATATATCTACCTATAATCGAATAAAGCTAGTACTTGAACAAAAGAAACAGTTTGGTGTGAAGTAATAGGAGTTGATTGAGATGTGAACCCTAAAGTTCCCTCAGTTTTCAGTTGGTGATATTTCAGTAAAAGTGGATACAGGTTCAAAGCCAATCTCAAAACCGTAATCTTAACCTAAAATCTGGAATCAAGCTCGATGCTGTCTAGTTTGGAATAAATGAAGATTTCCCTACAATTAAATCAAATTTACCCAACTAAACAGGCTTCAAAAGACCCTGCTGCTCTCAAAAACTTGGGGTCAAGTGAAAATGTAAAGTAAATCAATCTAATCTTACCAAAGCTTTCCACAAATATAACTTATGATGAGTCAGTTCGGAACTTTGGAAGATTTTTTCGCAACAAATTCTCAACCCTCAGTTTTCGCCATATTTGTTTAGTTATTTAAAGAACACGAGATCAATTTATTCATTGATCCTAATAAAGTGAATCATACATGCTGATGTTTTGATTTTGATTTGTCACGTCGAATTCAGTTAAAATGCTTTATTTTTTGCATGATTTATGGATAAAGCAGCCGATCCTGAAGCTCATAATCTCCAATAATCACTTATGGAACAAAAGTAAGTGATTATTCAAAATGTAACAGCAGAATGTTAATGCATTATCAAATCAGAGCATGATGCTAGACTGATCAAAGTTAAGTCAAGTGTGAGGGCTACGATAGTTTGTGCCTTCAATTCAACTAATCACAAAAGTCCCGGCCATATGTCTGTTTATCTAAGTGAATTGATGTGCTCTTGCTACTTTGGTTATAATTACTACTACAGTTGTTGATATAGTAAACAAAAATACAGTAACTAATAGTTAATTGTAAAGGTGGACTCAATGACAAAGCTGATCCTACTGGTTTAGTTATTGAGAGTCGCAGGTCAGTTTCCTACAAATTTGTTTATTCTGTTAACGGAATATAGAAAATGATTTAAGGACTCAAACAGATACGACTCAAGATTGGTCC